AATGAAAATTCAATTTACCAATGAAATCGGAAACATTGAAATGAAATCATAACGTATTTAGCATAGCGTATGTTGCTCTTACGTGTAACAGATGGTGCTGTTTAAAAAAAAATGTTTTTACCTGTCACAGGTGTGGCATCTATACTTATACTCACGAAATGAACGGTATGGTAAACAACACAGCTAAATTCCAAAGCAATGTCACACAAAATAATTAAATCAAAATTAAAATAAATCAAATTCTATAAAAATTCAATTTGTCAATGCAATCGGAAATATTGAAATGGAATCTTAACATATTTAGTATAGCATGTGTTGATCTTACACGCAACAGATGGCGCTGTTTCTTAAAAAAATAGAATGTTTTTACTTGTCACAGGTGTGGCATCTATATAGTAGGTATATAAAAACACGCACATATTTGAATGCAACGTTGTGTCAAAATTTCAATGCAATCGGTGAAGAACTTTCGGAGATTATCGATTTTAGTATTCAGAGAAGACCTTGATAAATAGATATCATATATATATATATATATATATATATATATATATATATATATATATATATATATATATATATATATATATATATATATATATATATATATATATATATATATCTCAACAGCAGAACCGAAGCATCCAAAATCAGAGGAACAGTCAGCAAGAAAACAGAAAAAGGCAACACAATAGGAGCAATCAGAGTCATCACCAGCGAGGACACAGTTGCCACCAGCGATGCCGATACAGCACAAGCTCTGAGAGTCAAACAGCAACAGGTAATCCGAGAGAGAACTCTATCAACATTAGAGGCCCGAGACTGTTCAACACGCTTCCACTACACATAAGGGGCATAATTGGCCGACCCCTCACAGTGTTCAAGAGAGAACTGGATAAGCACCTCCAAAGGATACCTGATCAACCAGGCTGTGATTCATACGTCAGGCTGCGAGCAGCCGCGTCCAACAGCCTGGTTGATCAGTCCAGCAACCAGGAGGCCTGGTCGACAACCGGGCCGCGGGGATGCAAAGCCCCGGAAACACTCCAAGGTAACCCATCCAGAGTTCCTCGTGATGACAGTGTTCCACTAGTCGGTGTCACCAGAGCAGAACCCCTGTGTGTGCTCGAATCCATGGTGCATAAAGCAGCATTACCCTTCCCACCAGGATCAGCAGGTGGGTTCACAGGACTAAGACCCAACCACATCAAACAAATGCTCAACCCTGCACTGGGAGACATTGCACAAGGCCTCCTGGTGGAACTAACTATATTCTCCAACACATGTCTAGCTGGCATCATACCAGAGACCATACGACCTCTCTTTTTTGGCGCTACTCTCTGTGCCCTGAGGAAAAAAGAGGGAGGAATCAGACCGATAGCTGTGGGCAGTTCACTCCGGCGCCTCGTCGCTAAGGCTGCTGCTAGAACAGTTAACTAGGCAGCAGCCGACATACTGAAGCCAAAACAGCTTGGGTTTGGCATTCCCCAAGGGTGTGAGGCAGCGGCTCATGCAGCTAGAGCCTACATTGCCAACATTACACATGAAAAAGCCCTGATAAAACTTGACGTTAAAAATGCTTTTAATCTGGTTAGAAGGGATGCAGTACTCAGTGCAGTTCATCGCCTTTTTCCTTCCCTCTACCCGTTTGTAAATTCATGCTACAGCAAGAATCAAACTCTGCTATTCGGGGAGCATGAAATTGAATCACAAGAAGGTGTGCAACAGGGTGACCCACTTGTTCCTTTTCTTTTCTGCCTAGTCATGAAGGATGCCACCGATAACCTGTCCAATGAGTTCAACATTTGGTTTTTGGACGATGATACTCTAGCCGGCTCCCCAGCCTCACTCTTGGACGACATAAGAATAATTCAGGAGCAAGGAGCAAGCCTAGGCCTCACCCTGAACCCTTCCAAGTGCGAAATAACCTCCACCAACCAGCACATAATAGAGCGAATAAAGGTTGTTTTACCTGATATTAATACAACCAACCCTGAGGACAGCACACTCCTAGGTGATCCTCTTGGAGGGAACGCCATCGACGGGGTCCTTGGTAAGAAGATCACTGACCTGAAGAGGATGAACGAGAGGATTGAAGACATCGATGCTCATGATGCACTTTACCTCATCACCAGATGCTTGTCCCTCCCCAGGCTGATCTACTTTCTTAGATGTTCGCCATCTTTCAATAATATTAAATTAGAAGAGTTCGACAGCTTGCTGAAATCAATGCTAGAAAAGGCCCTCAACCTTTCTCTCAGCGACTCACAATGAAAACAGGCCTCCCTTCCTGTCAGACTCGGGGGCCCTCGGCGTTCGCACAGCAACACAAATTGCTGTACCAGTGTTCCTGTCCTCTTCAGTGGCGTCTGACAGCCTGGTAAAGGAAATCTTACCTGAGTACCTAGTTCAACAGGCAGGGGTACATGATCCCAGCTTCACAGACTGCACAACCAAATGGGTCTCTCTCGCAGGACCAGCACCCCAACCACTGCTTTCTGAAGCCCATAAGCAATCCAGCTGGGATCACCTCATTGCCGACCAAGAAGCTGCAACATTGTTAGAAGCTGCGACAACACCACATGACACTACCCGACTTAGAGCGGTAGCAGCTCCCCATGCAGGGGACTTCCTATTAGCAACCCCCAATGTCAGCAACCGGCACCCGTCTCACACCGCAGGCCCTCCGAATTGCCGTGGCTCTCCGCCTAGCTGCCCCAATCCACACCGAATAGAGGTGTATTTGCGGTGAGGCAGAGGCCGACAGATACGGACGGCATGGCCTTCTTTGCCAAAGGACAGGAGGATGGCATGCAAGACACGGCGAGGTCAATGACACTATTAAGAGAAGCCTTATCACAGCTGGTTGTTCAGCAGAGAGCCCCATTACCTAATGCCCCGCAACTCTGATGCGTCTGTCGGTCGCCCAGATGAGAGTACTGTGAACCCCTGGAAGAATGGTAGACAGTTGGTGTGGGACTACACTTGCGTTTCAACTTTAGCCAACACCTATGTTGACTTCAGTGCTGCACAGGCAGGAGGTGCTGCCAATCACCGGGACATCTGGCGACAGTTGCCAGAGGTGACGGTGGAGACAGTTGCCAGAGGTGACGGTGGAGACAGTTGCCAGAGGTGACGGTGGAGACAGTTGCCAAAGGTGACGGTGGAGGCAGTTGCCAGAGCTGACGGTGACAACAGTTGCCAGAGGTGACGGTGGAGACAGTTGCCAGAGGTGACGGTGGAGGCAGTTGCCAGAGGTGACGGTGACAACAGTTGCCAGAGGTAACGGTGGAGACAGTTGCCAGAGGTGACGGTGAAGACAGTTGCCAGAGCTGACGGTGACAACAGTTGCCAGAGGTAACGGTGGAAACAGTTGCCAGAGGAGACGGTGGAGACAGTTGCCAGAGGTGACGGTGGAAACAGTTGCCAGAGGTGACGGTGGAAACAGTTGCCAGAGGTAACGGTGGAGACAGTTGCCAGAGGTAACGGTGGAAACAGTTGCCAGAGGTGACGGTGGAAACAGTTGCCAGAGGTAACGGTGGAGACAGTTGCCAGAGGTAACGGTGGAAACAGTTGCCAGAGGTGACAGTGGAAACAGTTGCCAGAGGTAACGGTGGAGACAGTTGCCAGAGGTAACGGTGGAAACAGTTGCCAGAGGTAACGGTGGAAACAGTTGCCAGAGGTAACGGTGGAAACAGTTGCCAGAGGTGACAGTGGAAACAGTTGCCAGAGGTGACAGTGGAGACAGTTGCCACAATTGACAGCACTAAGGTAATTGCTTGTGGTGATGAGAGACGCCCAGGAGGAAGTGTGAGCAACAATTCACAGTATTGTGTTTGTTAATAATACAAAGTATTAGTTTGAATTCCTTAGCGACAAGTTGTGGGTGATGACTTCTGAGTTATGATGAGGTGTCCCTAGCCTAGTGTATGGGGGAAACGAGAAGTCCAGAAAGTCTTCTTATGAATGGATGAAATAAGGATCAGTTTATGAATAAATTGTACGGGCGCCGCTGCAGGTATAAATGAATCAACTGGAGAATGCAAGGAAATGTTTGGAATAGGCAAGTATACATAGGTAAGAACACAGTGAACGGGTCATCCACGTCCCAGCTTTCATCCTCTGTCACCCGCATTCCCCGGCACCCCACGGCGCTGCCACTCACCCGTCAGGTCCTACTGGTTCCTCTCCCGGTACTCAGCTCCGGTACACCCCCAGTACACCCTCACCTCGCAGCCCTAACCCCTTCCCCGGTCCCTACACCCCCGGTCTCCCCCCCCCCCCCCCACTCACCACGCTCTCCGAAATAGTTAGCAATTTTGTAATTACCGCAACAAACGCTAATTGGAGAGCAAAGAGGCAACATGGAGGCGTACGACCAGACACATCACTAACCTTCATGGTTAAACAGCGGTGTTGGAAGATCTGTAGAATGTCTTGGTAAGATTAATAAGACGTGGAATAGAAATACAAGATGAACAAGTAAATGTCTAGAGAAAGATTTAATTTGTCTGACGTTGAAGCAGTATGTTTGTCGGTATGTGGTGTGGTTGACGCTATGCTGAACTTGAAAGTGCATAAAGATGAAGTAGTCTTAGTCCAGCAACCAGGAGGCCTGGTCGACGACCAGGCCGCGGGGACAGTAAGCCCCGGAAGCACCTCAAGGTAAGTCTTCATGCTTGATAGAAATTACTAATTATACGGAAAGAGTGACTTAGTGTAAAGATTTATAAGACATGAAACATAAAAGATAATAATAATAAGTCTTAATAGATTTCTTACGACATAAAACGGTAATGATATGATATAGGAAGATTAACTTAGTAAAAAAAAGATTATCTTGCTGAAAATGACGGTGAAAGATTTTTTGTTTTGGAGTAAACACAAAATAATATCTTAGTTAAGACACAGAGGCTGTGGGCACTAAGGTGGGGCTGGCTGTGAGCACTAAGGTGGGGCTGGCTGTGAGCACTAAGGTGGGGCTGACTGTGGGCACTAAGATGGGGCTGGTTGTGGGCACTAAGGTGGGGCTGGCTGTGAGCACTAAGGTGGGGCTGACTGTGGGCACTAAGATGGGGCTGGTTGTGGGCACTAAGGTGGGGCTGGTTGTGGGCACTAAGGTGGGGCTGGCTGTGAGCACTAAGGTGGGGCTGACTGTGGGCACTAAGATGGGGCTGGTTGTGGGCACTAAGGTGGGGCTGGTTGTGGGCACTAAGGTGGGACTGACTGTGGGCACTAAGGTGGGGCTGGCTGTGGGCACTAAGGTGGGGCTGACTGTGAGCACTAAGGTGGGGCTGGTTGTGGGCACTAAGGTGGGACTGACTGTGAGCACTAAGGTGGGGCTGACTGTGAGCACTAAGGTGGGGCTGGTTGTGGGCACTAAGGTGGGGCTGGTTGTGGGCACTAAGGTGGGACTGACTGTGGGCACTAAGGTGGGGCTGGCTGTGGGCACTAAGGTGGGGCTGACTGTGAGCACTAAGGTGGGGCTGGTTGTGGGCACTAAGGTGGGGCTGGTTGTGGGCACTAAGGTGGGACTGACTGTGGGCACTAAGGTGGGGCTGGCTGTGGGCACTAAGGTGGGACTGGCTGTGGGCACTAAGGTGGGTGTTACGACCCTGGGTTCTCCAGTGGAAACCAGAGGTCAAAATTGAGCTATTAAACTTTCTGGTAGTACAGTTGAGTGCATCTCTAGCGGCAATTGTTTGTATCTTCCATGCCGGACGTAAGACTATTATTGTTTCTCAAAGAGCATTTAAAGACTGAGCTGGGGGTTGATTATTACATAATAACATAGGCACCAACTTTGCTTACTAATACTTTCTAATCATTTGTAAAGTAACAATACGTTGCATAGGGGAAGATCTTTAATGTGCTTAGCTGCACGATCAATTAGGCTCCTTCCGGCACCACGACATGGGAGGCCTAGCTGGTCGCTAGGAGGTTCTTCTCTGGCTGGCGTTCGTGCGGACGAGACCTACTCTGTGGCTGCACCCCTAATCTCCTCCCTTCTCCTCTTACTTATTTCCCTTACCCTAAGTTCCTGTACCATTAAGTATTGTATGATTTCTAAGTGTACCTACTCTGGTAGTAACGATTGGTGAGACCTGGGGGTAGTAGTTGCCAGTGTTTTGGGTAACCCTAAGTGTTGTGTTTTGTATTAGGGTACCACGTGGGGTCTCACTACCCTAAGCTGCATCCAGCTTCAGTGCTTATCCAGTAGTACTTTACCCTAGCTTGTTATTAGTGTAAACCTTGTATCCTGCCTATGTGGACCAAGGCTTTTAACGTAAGATAGTGTGGTAAAGTTATTATTATTATTGTTATTGGTGTGAGTGTATATGGGGGGTTGTTAAGGGGTTAATAAATAAGTACATGAATTACAGAGTATCCCTTCTTCCTGTGTGGGAGCGCATTGATCAACCCTTAGACTAACATATATGGTCTAGTAGCAAGTTATTACTACTGTGGATAGTTTATTTTGGGGGCCGGGCCTTTTAGCTCTCCCATATTTGATACTCTTGTCTTCTAACTACCCTTACCCCTTAATAGTACCAGTCCCCCATAGAAGCCACCACACACCATTATTTATAACAAGTGGTTGGCCAGTCCGGGAGGAACATTATAAGTGTAAAAAATTAGATTCTTGAGTGCCAAAACTAAAATTTTTTGTTTCCGCAGAACGGTTGTGTGCTAGCCTAGGGTCCAGCTCATCTAGCAAAGGACATTCTTGCACTGACTGGACACCCAGCTGGATCCCTTCACGATTAAGGTTAGTGTGGCCTTGTGTTAGGGGCCGTGCAAATTTTTGTTTTTTTCCAATTTTTATTTTTTAATTTTTTCTTTGGCTGGGAGCTAAAATTATTAGTGATGTCATCTGAAATGCAGAGACTGGCAAGCGAGCCTTCAGTGGTAGAGATAAAGAAACTTAAAAAGTCTAATTTAGTATTGTTAGGCAAGGAATTTGGCCTAGAATTAAATGACACGGATAAAAAGTGGACTTTGGTGAATGAAATATTACAACATTGTATTGATGAAGAACTATTGGCAAGTGATACACCTTTATGCCAGCCTAGCCAAGCAGAAAGTGCAACTCATAGGGATAGAGAATTAGCTTTAGAGTTAGCAAAAATAAAATTAGAGGAGCAAAGACTCAAAACCGAGGAGGCTAGAATTAGAGCGAATGCCACTGGACCTCCACCTGCCGGGGATTCAAACCCCAGGCATTATGAGAAAAAGCATAATTTGCCTGAATTTTCCGAGTCTGACCCTGAAAGGTTTTTCAACCATTTTCAGAGATTGGCCATGTCCATGAACTGGCCAAAGGAAGAGTGGGTGAAAATCCTACAGGGAAGACTTAGGGGTAAAGCACAAGATATTTTTATAAACATGCCTGACGACGAGTGTTTTGAATATGATAAAGTCAGGGAATGTATTTTGCGGGCATATGAAATTACTCCTGAAGCTCACCGCCAAGTTTATCGCAACCTTAGGCCTACTCACAACCAACCGCTCACTGAATTTGTGAATGATCAAATTCGATTGTTTGATAGATGGATTCGCTCGGCGAAAGCCGAAACATACGAGGCTCTCAGGAACTTAATTTTAATGGAGCATTTTATAGATATTATGCCAGAGAATGTTTCACAGTACATTAGAGGAAGGGTAGAGGTAAATTCTAAAATAGGGGATTTGGCCAAGTTGGCAGAAAACTACCAATTGGCGGGCAAAAGGCCCAATAAAAATAATTATACCCCACAGAGTAGCAAAACTTATACCCACAGCCAGTCCAGACCAGCTCATTCTAACCCTTTAACTAATGCACCTTCTGTTTCAGACATAACTAACCCTGTTAAAGTGTCTAGCCCCACGGCACCTAAGGGTGAACCGAAGGGTAATTCTGTTAGTAATGTCTCTTCTCCCCGACGTTTTTGTGGTCACTGTAATCGTTCAAACCACAATATTAGCCGTTGTTGGCAACTGTACCCGGAAAAAAGACCCAATGCTCTAGTTGTGACACAGGGCTTGAGGCCTTCAGAAGGGTTAGGGAGTAAGACCTCCAACCCACAGTGGTTGGACTTGCTTACCCCATTCTTATCGAAAGGGAGACTACTTTTGTCTGAGGGTTCTTCCTGGAAGGACGTGGTGATCTTCCGAGACACCGGTGCCATCCAGACTTTAATTTTAGAGAGTGCGTTGCAAGGTGCCAACACTTTCGACACTGGAGAGGTGGTACTGGTCGAGGGTGTCACTAGTGATACTCGAGCAGTACCCCTCCATAAGGTTACCCTGGAATCTGATTTCCACAAGGGTGTTTGTACAGTCGGAGTCACTTCATACCTACCTTTCCCTAATGTTGATGTAATAGTTGGTAATGATTTAGCAGGGGATAAGGTAGGGGACTCCAGACTGCCTATTATGTTGCCTATCCCTAAGGTTTGCCTGGATCCACCCGCCGCAGAGGATAATGTTGTGTACCCTGCGTGCGCGGTGACCAGGTCTATGGGACTTAAATGTAAGGGCAGCCCTGTGCTTGCCAAGGTGGTAAATCCCGAGTGGTGAAAACCAAGTGGACCTCGCGGACACATTCATGGCCCGACTCGATGACGTGGCCGAGGACATTGTGGAGAGCCTGCCACCGCCATCTACCGAGAGTAGTGGGGAGGTGGAGAACACTGTTGAGCCTCGGCCAATGGCATCTGACCAAGGCATAGATGCCTCCTTGAGTGAGTTACAGAAAGCTGACCCCACTCTTGCAGATTGTCATGAGACAGCCGTCTCTATGGAGGAAATTGTAGACGCAGCAACTGGGTACTACTACAATGATCGGATTTTGATGAGAAAATGGAGACCACAGAGTGCTCCCTTGTCAAATTTGTGGGAGGTAGTCCACCAGGTTATGTTGCCGACCTGCTATAGAGAAAGAGTTTTGGCAGCTGCTCATGATGATCCTATGGGGGGACATCAAGGTATAAATATTACGTATCACAAAATTTTAAAGTATTTTTTCTGCCCCAAGCTGAAAAGCGATGTGGCAAAATTTTGTAATGCGTGTATTGTTTGTCAACTGGTTGGGAAACCAAACCAGACTCCACCTAAAGCTCCTCTAAAGCCTATTGTCGTGCCAGAGGAACCATTTTCTCATGTGGTAATGGACTGTGTTGGACCATTACCTAGAACTAAGTCTGGTAATATTTACCTAATCACAATGATGTGTATCACTACTCGTTACCCAGAGGCTTTTGCTGTAAGGAACATCCGAGCAAAAACTGTTGTTGCTCGTATGTTGCAATTTTTTTCCACTTTTGGACTGCCTCGGGTCGTGCAAACTGACAATGGTACTAATTTTAAGTCTGATATTTTTGAGCAATTTTGTAAGGAACATGGAATAACTCATAAGGTTTCCAGCCCATACCATCCACAGAGTCAGGGGGTAATTGAACGTTTCCATCTAACTCTGAAGCAGATGTTGAAGACATCGTGCGAGAGTTCCCACACCTTCTGGGATGAGAATTTACCGTATGTTTTGTTTGCGGCTAGAGAGGGATTACAAAGTTCACTGGGTTGTTCTCCTTTTGAGTTAGTCTTTGGCCATAAAGTTCGTGGACCCTTGCAAATGTTACAGGAGAATCTGTTAGGGAACGTAACGTTAACCGAAGGTTCGGCTTTCTTTGCGCAACACCACCAGAGACTCAAGGACTGCAAGGCGGCTGCATTAAAGTATCTTGGCAAGGCCCAAGAAAAGATGAAAGAACGTAACGATGCTAAATCTAAGTTACGGGTATTTCAGCCTGGCGACCCTGTCCTGGTATTAAAGCCTCGACTAGGGAACACTATGTCCCACAAGTACGAAGGCCCCTACATTGTGACAGAAAAGACTGGGGACCTCACGTACAAAGTGAGGCACTCTGACAAACGTAACCAGGTAATGCTCATACATGTAAATCGACTGAAGAAGTTCCAGGGCCCCAGGCCCATTGCACTAACCAATGTTTCCATTTCCAGTGAGAGAGGGGATGATTGTTCTGGGGACCCAACTAATCTCATTTTCAATAATTCTAGTTCTGTGAATGCTGTGGAGGAGGGACTGTCCCATTTGCAGATGGCCCAACGTGAAGAGGTGCAGTCGTTGGTTGATGAATTCTCCAGTCTGTTCGGGGAGGTCCCGACCCAGACTGATGCCATTTGCCATGATGTCGAGTTGACGGACTACACTCCCATTCGCCTTCAACCCTATCGGATGAGTCCAGAAAAGAAGGCCATCGTACGGAAGGAGGTCGACTTCTTGCTCCAGCACGGCCTCATCCGGCCGAGCCAGGGCTCTTGGTGCTCGCCCTGCCTTTTGGTCCCCAAACCAGACGGCTCCTGGCGATTATGCACCGACTATCGGCAGCTCAACAAGGTGACCATTGTGGATGCCTATCCGCTGCCCCTCCTCGAGGACTGCATCGACGAGTTGGGAAATGCCAAGTACGTTTCGAAATTCGACCTCTCGAGGGGGTATTATCAAATCCCACTCACTGAACGTGCTAAACAACTAACTGCGTTCGTGACACCCGAGGGTGTTTTTGAGTATCAAGTGTTACCGTTCGGCTTGCGTAATGCTCCTGCCACGTTCCAGAGACTCATGAACTCTCTGCTCGCTAAGGTGCCAAATTGTCGGGCGTATTTAGATGATATCGTGCTGTTTGACAGTAATTGGGCTGACCACATAGCTAGGTTACGCCAGTTGTTTGCCATCTTGAAAAGGGCAAATCTTACCTTAAATGCTAAAAAGTGTCATTTTGGCCAAGGCACAGTGACGTACCTCGGTTATGAAGTGGGCCAAGGAAAAGTGTTACCTCGGCAAGATAAAATCAGTGCCATTCTGGAGTATCCAGTACTAAAGTCTAAAAAGGACGTTCAAAGATTTATCGGTATGTGTGCGTACTATCGACGTTTTTGTCAGAACTTTTCCAGTGTTGCCACTCCTCTCACAGACTTGTTGCGGAAAGCCGTTAAATTTAAGTGGTCATCAGACTGTGCAGAGGCATTTAAAAATTTGAAATTGATCTTAGCTTCCGCCCCAGTGCTTGCTAGTCCAAGGTTCGACCGACCGTTTAAAATTCATGTTGACGCGTCTGACTCGGGTGCTGGTGCAGTGTTGTTGCAAACTGGGGATGATCAGGTGGAACACCCAGTATATTATTACTCTGTGAAATTCGACAAGGCGCAACGCAATTATTCAGTGGTAGAAAAAGAGGCGTTGGCGCTAGTGTTAACATGTAAAAAGTTCGAAGTTTACCTCACAGGTAATATAGTGGAAGTGTACACGGACCATAACCCACTAGTCTTCCTGACTCAGATGAAGGGTAAGAATAAACGCATCCTCAGGTGGGCGTTGTACCTACAGGACTTCAATCTTTCCATTACCCACCTACCGGGCAGACTCAACGTGATAGCCGACGCTCTGTCCCGGTTGCCTGAATAACATTCATCTGAGCCACAGAAAGCCATTTACCAACTGTCATGCTTTAGTTAATTTTTTTTTTTAGGTTCTCCTGTGACATTAAATATTCCGTGTCCAAATTATTTACTTCCCTGTTCTTTTTTTTTTTTTTGTGTATGTTTTTTTTTTTTTTTCTTTCAGAGAACTCCTTTGTATTTTTTTTGCAGATAAATTGTTTTTGATTGATTTTTTGTTTTTGTCATATGTTTTTACTTTTTATTCTCTGTATACTCTTACAAAAAAATATGACTACTATTCTAGTAGTCACATTTTTTTTTCTCTGAAGGGGGGAGGAGTGTTACGACCCTGGGTTCTCCAGTGGAAACCAGAGGTCAAAATTGAGCTATTAAACTTTCTGGTAGTACAGTTGAGTGCATCTCGAGCGGCAATTGTTTGTATCTTCCCTGCCAGACGTAAGACTATTATTGTTTCTCAAAGAGCATTTAAAGACTGAGCTGGGGGTTGATTATTAAATAATAACATAGGCACCAACTTTGCTTACTAATACTTTCTAATCATTTGTAAAGTAACAATACGTTGCATAGGGGAAGATCTTTAATGTGCTTAGCTGCACGATCAATTAGGCTCCTTCCGGCACCACGACATGGGAGGCCTAGCTGGTCGCTAGGAGGTTCTTCTCTGGCTGGCGTTCGTGCGGACGAGACCTACTCTGTGGCTGCACCCCTAATCTCCTCCCTTCTCCTCTTACTTATTTCCCTTACCTTAAGTTCCTGTACCATTAAGTTAAGTATTGTATGATTTCTAAGTGTACCTACTCTGGTAGTAACGATTGGTGAGACCTGGGGGTAGTATTTGCCAGTGTTTTGGGTAACCCTAAGTGTTGTGTTTTGTATTAGGGTACCACGTGGTCTCACTACCCTAAGCTGCATCCAGCTTCAGTGCTTATCCAGTAGTACTTTACCCTAGCTTGTTATTAGTGTAAACCTTGTATCCTGCCTATGTGGACCAAGGCTTTTAACGTAAGATAGTGTGGTAAAGTTATTATTATTATTGTTATTGGTGTGAGTGTATATGGGGGGTTGTTAAGGGGTTAATAAATAAGTACATGAATTACAGAGTATCCCTTCTTCCTGTGTGGGAGCGCATTGATCAACCCTTAGACTAACATATATGGTCTAGTAGCAAGTTATTACTACTGTGGATAGTTTATTTTGGGGGCCGGGCCTTTTAGCTCTCCCATATTTGATACTCATATTTGTCTTCTAACTACCCTTACCCCTTAATAGTACCAGTCCCCCATAGAAGCCCCACACACCATTATTTATAACACTTCAGGGAGCCCTAGAGCTGCCACCTTCAGGGAGCCCTAGAGCTGCCACCTTCAGGGAGCCCTAGAGCTGCCACCTTCAGGGAGCCCTAGAGCTGCCACCTTCAGGGAGCCCTAGAGCTGCCACCTTCAGGGAGCCCTAGAGCTGCCACCTTCAGGGAGCCCTAGAGCTGCCACCTTCAGGGAGCCCTAGAGCTGCCACCTTTAGGGAGCCCTACAGCTGCCACCTTCAGGGAGCCCTAGAGCTGCCACCTTCAGGGAGCCCTAGAGCTGCCACCTTCAGGGAGCCCTAGAGCTGCCACCTTCAGGGAGCCCTGGAACATTGTCAACAGGTTTGTGCCAATAGGCTCAGAGACCCTGGACACCAGGGCTGGATGCTCACTCAAGGTCCTGGAGGAGATGGAGTGGAACTCACTGGGAAAACCAGAGAGACAAGAGCAGTAAAGTTTTTTCTGTTCCAGCAATTATGGGTCACATTTCAGCTAAATAATACCTGATGTATCTTGAGCACCGCTGTCAAGGAGACAGTAGCCTCATCATAACTAAATTTGAAATAAAATGCTGGAGCAAGTCTAGGGCAAGACCAGTGGCTAATTTACATACCACTGAAGGAATTACAGTGACTGTTGCTTTATGTTGGTCATTCTCATGTAAGATGTATGTTTAGTGTCTTTAAAGATTTTGTTGCGGAGTAATCTGTTGGCAAAGGCTGGCACTGTTAATTTGTCTAGCAGAATAGGAATGGTTAATGATTTAAATGAAAAGATAGTCATGGTGGACTTACTTATATTAATTTGCACGTTACATTTTCTTTAATGAAGTTAAACAGTATGCAACTGAACCTATTGGCATACATTCAGATACTGTAGGCATACATACATACATGCATAATTTAAACCTTTTAAATTGTGGGATGTAATTTAATTTGCATTTATTAGCTTTTGCATTTGGATGTATTTTATCTGCATATTTATTATTCAATGTTGTGCAATCCTAGTGAATGTTTTATGAAAAATTATTCAGACATCAAAGGGGATAAAGTTGACAATTCGATTCCAGCCAATCTAGACAATCAGCTGATGCGCTGCTGCCACGTCCACCCCTCCAAACCTAAAGTCCTTAGTTACTTACGTCAACCAACCTTCAAACAGTGTGTAACATTTGTGGTATATTGACAGGAATGATGAAAGAGACTGACTGCGTACTCTGGTACTTGGCAGTGATAAGTACCAGTACTTATCAGAGTACCAGTACGTACTCTAAACTATGTGAGAAGTGAGGGGAAGAAAAGTCATTAAATGTTGATCTGGAACAGTTGTGTCAGGTGTGTACAGACATGAGGCACGTGTTGGGCACTGTGCTTCTAAATTCCTGTTGATGTTTAATATGTCAGGCATTGATGCTCATTTATAATTATATATACTGTGAAATGCTGAGGGAATAATTCCTAGTGGTAAGATACATCTCTGAATACTGTATCAATATTCACTTCGTGATTTAAAGGGATGTTGGTTGCTCAGAGAGTATTGACATTTTGTATGAAACAAAGTCACCACATAACAAAATCTTGCCGTGCTTATTGCTCAATAGACCGCTAGACCGGAACAGTTACATTTACTGACACCTTAAGCACTTTTAATGGAAAATGATTCATTATTTTCTGCACCTATTCCCCAAGAACATCTGTTGTTAATGTTAAAATGTGCTTCAGTTATCCCAAACCCTTGGAATGCAGGTCGTCCTTAAAATAAATGTTATCCTCAAACTAGAACCGAGGTGAGGCCAACTTAGAAACATGTACATCTCTTTATCAATCATTTTTCCGGTTTTCTTTATATTTATTAAATAGTTTAAGATCACCGGAGCACTTAAAGGGTTTTTATAACAACAATAACACTGGACTCGTTAGTTCCCGAGCTCCTTAACTCGTTTAATAAATGTAAACAAAGCCGCCAAACATTGAGAAAAGATGTAGAGGCTCGTAAGTATATGCCTAAATGCTTTGTGAATCCCGGCGCTGATATACAAGAGGGCGTAATTCAGCACACATGATGAACTCTGCACACCTGTGAGGGGGGGTTCGAAGAGTGATTGTCATACATGTGTGTATTTTGTAAACTTTAAAACAATGTAATAAAAATCAATTACATAAATAACATTGAATAAAATTCAGGCGATGAGTCACAATAACGTGGCTAAAGTAAGTTGACCAGACCACACACTAGAAGGTGAAGGGACGACGACGTTTCGGTCCGTCCTGGACCATTCTCAAGTGGATTGAGAATGATAACAATCGACTTGAGAATGGTCCAGGACGGACCGAAACGTCGTCGTCCCTTCACCTTCTAGTGTGTGGTCTGGTCAAATTGAATAAAATAATAAAAGTAGGAATGGTAGGAAAAAAGCACTCAACGAGTGATCTAGAAGAAACTGCAACATCTTCACCTAATTACCAACTTCTCTACCATCCGCTAGAGCGACGGTCTCGCTTCACGCAGGTCGGCGTTCAATCCCCGACCGTCCAAGTGGTTGTGCACCATTCCTTCCCACCGTCCCATCCCAAATCAATATCCTGACCCTTTCCCAGGGCTATATAGTCATAATAACTTGGAACTTTCTCCTAATAATTCCCTTCTCTGATTACCTTTTGTTCTCTTCTCTGAGGCTCAGGGTCCCCGCCACTGCACCAGAGGTGGTACCCAGTCTGTATAATACATCAACAATAAGAGGAGCATGCACAACAACCAGAAGACACTCTACCTTCTCAATACGTGGCCCCAAACATCAGGGAGGACCTTCAATCCTGGAAAACAAATAAAAAAAAGTTTTTAATTTATAATGTATTTAGATATAAAAATATTATATTTTAAATTATATATTTATAAAATATATTTATATTTATTTATATATTTTATTTATATATACGAATGAAAAAGCCAAACATGATTCCAAATACATAAATAACATAGAACTAAAACAAGGACACCAGCATACAAGGACAGAAACAAGGACACCAGCATACAAGGACAGAAACAAGGACACCAGCATACAAGGACAGAAACAAGGACACCAGCATACAAGGACTGAAACAAGGACACCAGCATACAAGGACAGAAACAAGGACACCAGCATACAAGGACTGAAACAAGGACACCAGCATACAAGGACTGAAACAAGGACACCAGCATACAAGGACAGAAACAAGGACACCAGCATACAAGGACAGAAACAAAGACACCAGCATACAAGGACAGAAACAAGGACACCAGCATACAAGGACAGAAACAAGGACACCAGCATACAAGGACAGAAACAAGGACACCAGCATACAAGGACAGAAACAAGGACACCAGCATACAAGGACAGAAACAAGGACACCAGCATACAAGGACAGAAACAAGGACACCAGCATACAAGGACAGAAACAAGGACACCAGCATACAAGGACACCAGCATACAAGGACACCAGCATACAAGGACACCAGCATACAAGGACAGAAACAAGGACACCAGCATACAAGGACAGAAACAAGGACACCAGCATACAAGGACAGAAACAAGGACACCAGCATACAAGGACAGAAACAAGGACACCAGCATACAAGGACAGAAACAAGGACACCAGCATACAAGGACACCAGCATACAAGGACAGAAACAAGGACACCAGCATACAAGGACACCAGCATACAAGGACAGAAACAAGGACACCAGCATACAAGGACAGAAACAAGGACACCAGCATACAAGGACACCAGCATACAAGGACAGAAACAAGGACACCAGCATACAAGGACAGAAACAAGGACACCAGCATACAAGGACACCAGCATACAAGGACAGAAACAAGGACACCAGCATACAAGGACAGAAACAAGGACACCAGCATACAAGGACAGAAACAAGGACACCAGCATACAAGGACAGAAACAAGGACACCAGCATACAAGGACAGAAACAAGGACACCAGCATACAAGGACAGAAACAAGGACACCAGCATACAAGGACAGAAACAAGGACACCAGCATACAAGGACTGAAACAAGGACACCAGCATACAAGGACAGAAACAAGGACACCAGCATACAAGGACAGAAACAAGGACACCAGCATACAAGGACTGAAACAAGGACACCAGCATACAAGGACAGAAACAAGGACACCAGCATACAAGGACAGAAACAAAGACACCAGCATACAAGGACAGAAACAAGGACACCAGCATACAAGGACAGAAACAAGGACACCAGCATACAAGGACAGAAACAAGGACACCAGCATACAAGGACACCAGCATACAAGGACAGAAACAAGGACACCAGCATACAAGGACACCAGCATACAAGGACAGAAACAAGGACACCAGCATACAAGGACAGAAACAAGGACACCAGCATACAAGGACAGAAACAAGGACACCAGCATACAAGGACAGAAACAAGGACACCAGCATACAAGGACACCAGCATACAAGGACAGAAACAAGGACACCAGCATACAAGGACACCAGCATACAAGGACAGAAACAAGGACACCAGCATACAAGGACACCAGCATACAAGGACAGAAACAAGGACACCAGCATACAAGGACACCAGCATACAAGGACAGAAACAAGGACACCAGCATACAAGGACACCAGCATACAAGGACAGAAACAAGGACACCAGCATACAAGGACAGAAACAAGGACACCAGCATACAAGGACAGAAACAAGGACACCAGCATACAAGGACTGAAACAAGGACACCAGCATACAAGGACAGAAACAAGGACACCAGCATACAAGGACACCAGCATACAAGGACAGAAACAAGGACACCAGCATACAAGGACAGAAACAAGGACACCAGCATACAAGGACAGAAACAAGGACACCAGCATACAAGGACACCAGCATACAAGGACAGAAACAAGGACACCAGCATACAAGGACAGAAACAAGGACACCAGCATACAAGGACACCAGCATACAAGGACAGAAACAAGGACACCAGCATACAAGGACAGAAACAAGGACACCAGCATACAAGGAACATCATCAAAAGCAGGCGAATAAACACGACGGTAATCAAGCACATTACACGGAACATGAAAATGAGCAGCAAAACACACAATAATTACACACACACACACACACACACACACACACACACACACACACACACACACACACACACACACACACACACACACACACACACACACACACACACACACACACACACACACTCACACACACACACACACACACACACACACACACACACACACACACACACACACACACACACACACACACACACACACACACACACACACACGCACACACACACACACACACGCACACACACACACACACACACACACACACACACACACACACACACACACACACACACACACACACACACACACACACACACACACACACACACACACACACACACACACACACACACACACACACACACACACACACACACACACACACACACACACACACACACACACACACACACACACACACACACACACACACACACACACACACACACACACAACACGAAACAATTTACACACCCATGAGAAGATAGGCCAACAACACACACAGCCAGCTACACGACGCACACTCCATAGCTAAGTAAGCACAGGTTTGTGCTTACACACATGTGTAAGGTGTGTAAGCACACACCTTACGATCACAGGCAGCTACACCACACACATCCTAGCTAAGTAAGGACAGCTAGGCACAAAACACAGGCAGCTACACCACACACATCCCAGCTACTTGAGCACAGCTAGGCACCAAAATATTCCAAATCCAATCAAATCACTGGTACCGTAAATCACCGTCAGTGCCATTAAAGTTGCAAAGTTCGGGGAAGACACACCACACAAATGAGACTACAAAAGAAGCACTGGCAATGAACAATATATACAAAAAAAAAACTTTAACATAATGCACCACTATCGACACACGTGACAAGCCAAATGTGAAAGAGACACAAAACACGTTTCCCACAAAAACACGTTACACAACATTCCCAAACCTGTAGAAAACACAAAAGTATGTAAAGCAAAGCAACAATTACCACCAAAAAATCATTGACCATTCATATATAATAATTAAACTTTTACAATATTTTCAGACATAGAGGCAACGAAACGCGTCGTACAGCAAACGAGGCACAGAAGGCGCAGTTGAGGACCATTCTCAATCGACTTGAGAATGGTCCAGGACGGACCGAAACGTCGTCGTCCCTTCACCTTCTAGTGTGTGGTCTGGTCAACAAGGCGTAGTTGTTGTTGTCTGAGGGGCGACGACAATCGAGGCAGATGACAACAGACTCCGCGCCCTGAGGATCAGTGTTCCCAGACAACCAAAACAGACCAGCGAGGCCACGCCAGTGTTCCCAGACAACTAAAAGAGACCAGCGAGGCCACGCCAGTGTTCCCAGACAACCAAAAGAGACCAGCGAAGCCTCGCCAGTGTTCCTGTTCCACATCACAACCGCCGACCCATAAATATCAAAGTGTAACTGAAGCAAATACTCAGCACACAAACAACACCAGAACCTTCCCGCCCAAGAAACAATAGATAACGAAGTTTCACATTGTCCATCATTAGTGGGTCTGTTTCGTCAGGTGTTTGTATGCGTGTCGGGCCATTATTCCCAGAGGGCGGTGTTTCAACAGTATCTTTCTTACCCTTACTGTTACCAGTCTCACCAACGGTTCTACTCGGATCATGTTCTACCAACCCGTCCTCGACTCAAGTCCATTCCATCCAGCGGTCGACCCCACAGACGCATTCATAAATTTTTACATGCTGTTCATTCAAAACGGGAATTTTCTCAAGTATAAATTAATATTATAATATTATATATGCATATTGCAATATGCAATATATGCATATTGTGCATATATAGGCATAGGTTAGGTTAGGTTAGGTGTTTGGGTTCTGTTGGCGATTGTTTGTATTTGTAGTACGTGGGTGAAGCATTTACAGCGTTGTGGTTCGAACAAAATTCTCGTCAGTGAAGCACTTGTTCCGAAAGTGTTCGAACGAAATCAGTTGTGAGTCGTGTGTAAACCGTTTTTCATTCATAACAGGGGGTTTGGCGGGTGCATGGAATCACTTTTGGGTCTTTGTTTGAAGGACAGGCTGGTTCTCATATACCAATACCCCCCAATTAGACTCGGTGGTATAGATATTTGCAAGGCGACACAGTTAGCATTACCGGCATTCTTATCCTCGACCAGCGCTACAGGTGAATTAGTGAATGAATACTACCAGAATACCTAAGTGACTCCACTGGGACTCATGATCATAAATTCGCGGACAGAGCCAGCCAGTGGGACAATCTTGCCAATTCTCACCCTCGACCAACTTTTCTAAACGACTGCAAACAGGCCAAATAGGACAGCTCCATAGTGGAGAACATTGCCCCAGCATTGGTGGAGGCAGGGTCTGGAAAGAACAAAGCGCGTCTCCTAGCTGTGCAAGATCCCAATGCTGGGGACTTCCTGTTGACTGTCCCTAAACTGAAGACTCAAGAGCGGCCAGTTTCCTGTTCCAGCGCCTCAGTGTCGCGATCCAGAGAGGAAATGTTCTGTATCTTGGGCACGCACCCAACCTCCGAGGACCTGGAAGAGGTTTTCGAACAGTGACTGTTAGATGTGTGTGTGTTTTCTGTAAACTGTGGCAATGTAATAAAATATAATAAAATTTAAGGAAAAAAATTGTGGTGGTAGGAGAGGAGAATATTAAAGTGTTTAGTGAGAATCCACAAGGTCTTCTTT